GGCCTTTATAAAATCTAGAGATGACACTCTTATTTGACTTACTTTGGTAGGCATCAATAAAAATTATCAATATCGGGTCATTAAGGTCTGTTTCCTTTCTAATGTTATGTTCAAAACGATTACGTACCTGGAGAAATCTGAAAAAATCTGATCTTTCCAGATCATAGTCTTCCCTCAACTTTTCAAAGTTTTTAAATTGTCCCTTTTCTGTAAGAGAGTAAAATGTTGTTATTCCTTTCGAAATCCATGATTTAAATCCCTTATCTATTGTGTTAGGCTTAAACTCAGGATCATAGGCACACCATTGAATTATCTGTAACTTATTTCTTAATTTGTACTTGTCTTTTATCATATTCCAGATTTTTAACTGCACTTTGATCCATGGGTTTTGCACTGTATCTATAAATCTTCCCAGATGTTTGTGAGGTAATACTGCTTGTATTGGGGAGGGTCAACCAGAATAGAGAGTTTGATATCTTTCCACCTGGCTTGAAAGGACGGGTTACACAATTTAATTAGGGGTCTTATCTGAACTGCGTAAAAAAAAATCTTTAAAATGGTGTAATGCCATTCCCCCTTGCTTTTTTGGAAGTTGTAATGTTTTAAATCTAACCCTGGGTTTTTTACCCTGCCAAATAAATCTGGAAATAATTTTATTCAGTTCAGAAAATTGTTTTGAGGGAATTTCTACAGGGAGTGCCTGGAATAAGAAGAGATATCATGGGAGAATATTCATTCTTACAGAATCAATTCTGTGACTAAGACTAAGGAAAGAAATTGAGTTCCATTTTTGTATGTCTTCTTTAATTTTCGTTAAGAGGGGGCCACAATTTATCTCTGCCAGTGTTTGAATTCTTTTTGGTAAGTATATTCCTAAATATTTTAATGAATTCTGATCCCAGTTTATATGGAATTTCTCCCGAAGTTGCTTTGTGGGTTGAAAATTGATAAGCAAAATTTGTGTTTTTTTGTACATTTAATTTATATTGTGAATAATTACTGAATGTTTCTAAAAGAACCATTAATTTGGGGAGTGAATTAGGAGGGCTACTTAAATAAACTAAAACATCGTCAGTGTATAGCGCTACCTTGTGGTCTTCTCCATTGATGCAGATGCCTTTAATTATCTGAGTCTGTCTTATCCACTGTGCCAATGGCTCTATATAGAGTGCAAACAGCAGGGGCGAAATCGGGCATCCCTGTCTTGATCCGCGTTCCAGTATAATGATATCTGAAAGGTATCCATTTATTTTTATCTGGCCAATGGTTTACTCTTTACCCTTTAATAAAAATGTTGTCCAAGCCAAATCTTTCTAAAACTTCATACAGAAATTGCCAACTCACGGAGTCAAATGCCTTCACGGTGTCTAGACTAAGGCCCAATCCCAATTCCTATCTTAACCCTCAATCTTAATTCTCAAGCTCAACCCTCAATCTCACTAGCCCTCAAAACCAAGTGTTAAGGGCTATCTTGTGACTTTAAAATGGGACACCCCTCAAAGGCAAATATGTCTTAAGACTGTCGGGGGCAGCAATATGCCAAAACTCTATCCAGTCTGTCAGTCCAAAGAAGAAGAAATATATGTCATCAGTAGTCGTCGATAAAAAGACGTGATGAGTTTTTTTCCCAACACTTTATTTCAATGCTTGTACAAAACAAGCAGTGACAGACATGAACAGAACAAATATGCCATGTTAAGAGAAGGTTAAGAGAAAAGAAAAAGAAATAAAATAAACAAATAAATAAAAAAAGTTCAGCAGCTCAAACAATTAAATTGTTTACATATTTTCAAAATTTACTCTTATGAATATGGAATTTTGCTAAAATAATAGATAGATTAATGATACAGAATTGTTTTTGTTTTGAAATGCTGACATCATAAAATCCAAACAGCACATCTTTGTACAGTAGTGAAAACAGAACATAAATGTTGCAACGAATATACTCCACAAAATCTTTCCAAAAAGTGACAGTATAGGGGCAGCTCCAAAACAAATGTACAGTTACCAAACTCGACAATGTCTGCAGCTGTGCTGATTTCATATTGAAACAGAATGCTTGATCACTAGGGGAACAGTTGCCGTTGTGACTGAGAATTATGTTATGAATATTAACAGTTCACAAGTTACAAATTTCTCACTCCCATAGTTTTTTTGGAGCCTGCTTGCTTTTTGTAAACTTGTCTTCATTGGTGGCCCTGAAATGAATCAGGGCTTGTGTTTTGTCTGGTGGCCCTGAAATGGAACAGAGATAACAACATTACTTTCTATTATTTTTTATTTTTTTGGGCTACCTGTCAGATATTCGTTAAGTTATTAGTTTAGTTTCATGCAGTATTGCAAGTATTATCACAATGAATACTGTAGTCAACATCCAGCAGAACTGGTGAGGCTGTTTACACAGTCACACAAGTGTTATCTGGTGACTTTCATCCACGTTAACGTTTCACTCTTTGGGTTATAAGTTGATATTCAACCAAATAAGCGGGGTTACGTGCGGCGGGGCAGGCAAGCCGTCGCCCGTGACCAATAATATGTGTGTTACGCTACAGAGAGGTCTATAGTCCATAAAATGACGTTAAACTAAGATAATGCAATGGTTATCATAATTTTAAAACAACTATTAACGAGGAAAATACTCACATTGATAACTCTGCTCCCTTAAGCTTGTCGCCGCCATCTTGCATTGACTGAATCGTCTGTACTCGGCTGGGTTCGGCTGAGCTCGGCGGATGATACGCAAAGGATTCTGGGATAGCACTTATTGCCAAGGGTGGTCCTGGAAAATCTTAAAAGTGAGGGCCATACAGCCCTTATTCTTGACCCTCAACTCAACACTCTGAGAATCGGGACAGCACTAGCACTTCGCGGGAGAGCGGATTTTTGAGACTGAGGGTTAAGATTGAGGGTTAAGATAGGAATTGGGATTGGGCCTAACTAAACAAGCTTCAAGATTATTCTGTTGGATATGATGTAAAATATGTAATGATCGTCTAATATTATCATGAGTCTGTCTTTGTGAAATAAATCTGGTCTGATCCTTATGTATAAGCTGGGGAAGAATCTTGTCCAGTCTTCTGGCGAGAATGGTTGAGTAAAGTTTATAATCAACATTCAGCACCAAAATAGGTCTATATGAGCTACATTTTAATTTGTTTTTCCCCTCCTTGGGATTAATGGAAATTACCGCCTCATTCCAAGATGGGGGCATTTTAGCAGCTGCTAATGTCGTATTGCAAGCATGAAGAAGGATTGGCATTCACTCGACTTTAAAGACCTTGTACCACTCTGAGGAGAAGCCATCTGGGCCGGGCGATTTGTTTACTTTCAGTGTGGAAATGGCACTATTCAACTCTATCTCGGTTACAGGGGCTGTTAATATTTCATTTTGTTACTCAGATATAACAGGTAAATTGAGGGATTTTAAGAAATTGTCAATTTGTTCAGCACCTTCTAACTGTGGTCGTGTGTACAAGCCCTTGTAATATTTTCTGAATATTCTTTGTATTTCATCTTGTTTATATTGAATAGTTTTAGAATCTGTATCTCTTATTTTGTATATTGTGTTGTCTGCTCGTTGCTTTTGTAGTTTTCTCGTCAAAATTTTTTTTGATTTTGCTCCTGATTCATAGTATGTTTGCCTTGTGAATATCATCTTCTTTTCAATTTCCTGTGTATATATCATATTTATTTAGTTTCTAATTGTTTTTATTCTAGTCAGTGTTTCTGGTTTTTGTTCTCTTTTATGTTGTGTCTCAAGATCTTTCAATTCCTTATTAATGTCTATCAATCTTAACTGTTGTTGTTTCTTTTCATAGGCGCAGAATGATATGATTCTCCCTCTAATAGCAGCTTTTAAAGTATCCCACACTATAGCTGAGTCAACCTCTCCCTTATCATTTTCTTCTAGAAACCTTTTTATTTCCTCTCTCATTTGAGTTTTGAATCTTGGATTATTCAGGATATTAGTGTTCAACCTCCACAGAGTTCTACCGGGGTTATCCTTAATATCCACAGTGCAGGAGAGGGGGGCATGATTGGATAGGTCAATACATCCAGTATCACAACCACGTATTCTATGATGATCTCTCTTTAACACAAAAAAATAATCTATTCTTGAATACGCATCATGCGATGTAAATAGAAAGTATAGTCACGGCCTGATGGGTAGAAGTCCCTCCATAAATCTAGTACAAGATGGTTGATGACTTATTTGAAAGTCATTTGAAATTTGCTCTGATGTGAGCGCACATCCGTGGTGTGTCAGATATGATATGTGTGGCCAATAAATGATTGAGTCTAATGAAAAATGGTACGGTTCAAACAGGTGTTCTTTGGGGAATGACAGCACATCTAAACGGGGTCTGAAGATCCTCTCCCAGTGTAAGGCATTGCGAATTAATTATGCCTCGATATCGATGGGATTTCCTACATATGGACAACCCATGTCTGTCAGCTTGCTTCAGGTTCGGCTGTAGGGAGGAGACAGGGTGAACTCAGGGTTTCTTAAAGAAAACCTGCCAGCGAGCAGGTTAGGTTCACAGAGTCAGTTGCCATGGTGATTGACTCTGAGTTTGACTTACCTCTCTTTCTGGAACTGAAAACCCAGAATTTCCCTCATTTCAGGGTTAACATACTCAGAGTTTTCACTAAACCCGCTTTCTGGAATACCCCCTGAAGATGAGACTATAAACCAAAACCCAGGAAAACATTTTGTGTGCTCATGTGTCTTTTTGGCAGATAAACTTGTTCTTTAATAAACTGAGTGATTTGAGAAGAGCCTTAAATTGTAGGAGAAAAGATAAAAATTCAGGAAGTAACTCAGGGAATTTCTGTTTTTGATTTAAAATGTATCATTTAGAATAACAAACTTAATATGTTTTATTTCGTCGAATGTTTTTCTAACATGTGACGCATCATAAGCCCCTCCCTTACGATTGGCTAATTGGATCATCGAAAAATAATTCTGTGTTCTGATTGGCTTCCATTTCCACGACATAGTTCCGCAATTCTAGTCTGTTTTGACGTTGTTGAAAGAGCTCTTCAAAGCAACATACGGATCCATAAGCAAGTCAGCGTTCTGCTCACCGGTTCGTAACTATATCTGTCTTACTGAAACATAACAAATGCATCTCCTGCTTTAAGGCTTCAGCTGTGTCGTGTTATCACTACAGGGACGTGTTAACAGTTAGCGTTAATGCTAATGCTAGCAAAGTTAGCTGCGGGGTCCTTATCTACCAGTATAACTTTAGCGTTAGCCAGTAGCTGTATTGTGTGGACTTGGCAGTTGTCACATGTGTTGCCCGTATTGACCCGCTCCTTGCTAGTGCTTCAAGCTAGCTGAATGAATGTTGAGGATATTTAACCAAGGCAAAGAGAGCCAAGCTTCTCAGTGTGCCATAGTACAGGAGCTCATCTCTCAGTTCCTGCATGGAAACACTGTTGACTGCATGAAGTCTCGTCTCCTCTATTGACATAGCTTCATAAGCTCTAGACCAGTGGGATATTGACATCTTCACAGTGTTAACATACACTGTTTAGTGGACTTCAACCCCGATATGTTATACAGTTACTTGGCAAATTAATAAAATCCACTGAAACAAATGACAATTGCTTTACCAAGTGGCTGTTAGTGGATCATGATCTGAATGAGAGATCAGCAACATCAGTTGATTTTTGGCAGGGCAGTTTTTATGGAAGCAAAGGTAGGGGTAGCTATGTAAATATGAGGAGTTATCATAATCAGTTATGTTACCTACTCTCGCATTCTTATGGCACACAGCTGTATATCCCTAAAGTTTTGATTTGGTTGACTATTGACTATTTCCATTGTCTGCATTCTTCCATTATCAACTGTGTTGAGTTCATGTTGGCAGCAGACTTTTTCCCTATTCACATCCTCGAGCTTACAGGGGTACCTTGAGATGCTCTCAGGTTAGCTGTGAAATAGAATTCCAGCATGTTCAGAATCAGCTCAGAGGTCTCCTCCTCACCATCTGACCTACCTGGAATACTGCAATAGTCGTTACTGGGAGGCAACTTAATCATATGTTGAAACAATTCAATTGCGTCCTTTTAATACTAAAGAGTAGGGATTAGGGCTGGGCCATATGACCAAAATGTCATATCACAAAATAGGTCATTTCATATCCCGATAACGATACATATCACGATAAAGCACATTTTAATCCAATGAATAAAAACAGCATAAATGTTCCTCTGTGTGTGCTTTTACGTAGCACGCAGGTGTTCCGGATTCAGAGGTGTGACGGAGATCAGACTGATCAGAGCCTTAAACTCTAAACATTTCTCCTTGTTTGATAACTTTACGATGAGTCAGGCAACCAACTCATTTTAAAGAAGACGAGAGAAAAAGAGAGAGAGAGAGCAAGCAGCTGTGGTCGAGCAATCTAGAGATTGAGTGAAGAGAGGGAGTGCTGGTAGCAAGAAAGCTGGTGAATCAGATCAATTAAACTTTATTTTCTGATTGTTTCACAGCGGTTATGTTCTAAAGCTCAAACATGCCCACACCCCCACACACCTCTGCTCAACACTGAGGCTGTACTCCACACCACCTGATTTGGTCTGAATATGGGTTTTACTGTCATTTATTGTCACCGTCTCGCTTGTCTGCTTTTTCTCAGCGGCGTGGGGCGGCCCTGTGCAGCGCAGCAGAGACAGACAGCGGTGGAGTTATATAAACTCGTTATGTTACTGTAAGTGCTGTAAAAGCTTTGCGAATTAAAAAGCCAAGAAGAGTAATTTATGACCCGTGCAAAACAATTGGTCTCCAAATGATGAAAAATATTGCCGTAAAAAGTGTAATTTGCGTCACAACGTTATAAATGATAGAACAAAATATGAAACGTCATACGATATATATCGTCATATCGCACAGCCCTAGTAGGGATGCATGATAATGTCGGCACATCATCAGTATTAGCAAATATTGGCTTAAAAATAAACTCTAACAATCTGCCATCTGCTGGTGGGCTATCATGGGAAGAGTATGCATGAATAATATGATGTTAATTCAACTACAGAAGAGACTTGATGGTCACTAAACTAAAGTAGGGAAAAAAAGTTGATATATCGATATCAGTATCTGTTATCGGTCAAATGAGTTGTTACATATTTGCATATTGGATATCGGCAAAAAATCCAATATCATACATCCACACCAAGAAGCAACTGTTATACTTTGAGCTCCCCTGGATGTCTGAGCTCCAGACCCTGATACTAAGGGTGTTTTGCGATTATTGGGAGTCAACAGGAAGAGCAGTAGGTGACGCTTCTCGTGAAAAATGAACGAAATAAAAACACCCCCGTAGAAGAAGAGTGCGCCATGAGATGACGTCATAAGAGAGCGTCTTATGCCCACTGTAAACAACAACACACTTAACTGACACTCAACAACTGATCATGGACAGATTCCTGATAAACCTGTTGGCTCTTGGGAGAACTCTGGTTAGCATTTTGTGAGCGTTCACAGCGCACCTAACCATCTTGAAGAGACGACAAAGAAGAAGTTTAATGTTAAGAGTACCATCGGAAACAGCTGGAAGGAGACCACTGCGTTGTTCTCCATATGTATGGGAATGTAGGCGTGTGAAGGACTTTTGGGAAGTAGTTGTCCAGCAGCATTTCACTCACGAACTCTGGCTGAAACATTTCCGTATGTCAAGGGCCACATTTGAGGATCTGTGTGCCGGTACGTCATCGTTTATTCGCTAAACCTGTTTCCATAGCAAAAAGTCGCATTTTCCTTTTATCGATACGCTGACAAATCCACCCCCTCCAAGTGTAAAAACTTTTTTTGCGAATTTTTGGCCCTTTTTCGAATTTCTGGCATTTCCATCCAAGTTTTTTTTTCTTGCAATTTTTTAAAATGCGAATAAAAATAGGTGGATGGAAACCCCACTATAGTTAGGTCTACTATTTATTGTTGTTCTATAATGGAGCTTTTAAGCGAAAACGTCTTACAAAATTGTACTTCTATAACTGGAATGACAATAAACATCGTAAATCTATAAGAACCCTGTTGGGGGTTCTGGGGGCATGCTCCCCTGGGAGAAAATGTTGTATATATTTGATTTAAAGGCATCAGTCTGGCGAATTCTGAGAGCCAAGTTATGATGGCAGAACATGCCTAGATTTCAACATCTTTGTGCTTTTAATGTGTGAAAAATGTTTTATTTTTACTGATAAAAACATCAGTGGTATGTTATGGTGAAGGGTTACACTTAAAATATGGCTCAGGATTAGTGGTTAAACATTTCAGTAATCAAAAGAAAAATGACTAACGTACTGATCTGCCTCTGAAGGGCTATTTTATTATTTTAAATCATGTGCAGACAAAATATTATTTTAAAACTCTCTCTCTCTTAGGGCAGGACGATTAATCGAATTTTAATCATGATTTCGATTTTGGCTTCTCACGATCATAAAAACATTATAATCGAAGAAAAACGATTAATGCGCCGCGCGGCGTGTATGTAAGTGAATGCACCTGTGTTGTATGCAGCAGCAGCAAGCGTGTGACGTGTGTGGATCAATAATATGTGGAGCGAGCGATTAAGAACATGGCAGAAAGGCAGCCTTTGGTTGAGAAGAAAGGTAGGACAACTTCAGTCATTTGTCATTGTCATGCTGTCGTGTCTGCCCCCCAAGGCAACACGAGCGGGAAAAAAAAAATTCCAAAAAAGTTAATAACTTAAAAATTATGGCGAAAAGGTAGTTTCTTGCAACCCTAGAATTAAGATAAAAATATTCATAAACGAAAAAACACTTCTGGTTGCTGATAAGTATTGTTTAACTTTTGATTTAACACTAAAAATTAAAACCCTCGGTGCGCACTGCAGCGCAAGCAGACAGATGCGCGACTCAGAGCAGCATGTGTCACTTACACCAGACTGGTGGAAAATGTCACCATCAGCATATTATTGTACATCAATAAAAAATATTTTATCGTTATTTGAGTCACATTGTTGAAAGAATTTAGCTGTCTGTGTTCAAGCAGGATAATAGGTCTCCATTCATTGCACGTTGGGCTTTCTATTTCCTTGTCGGAGATGGTGTTGCGTTCAAGGTCCCCCCCAAAAAAATGGGAGGAAAAAAAGGCAGAATATTCGATTTTTTTTTTCACAATCGAATCCCGTGCTATCGAACTTGGGTCAGCCCTAGTATTTATTTTTATTTATTGTTTTTATTGCTATTATTATTTTAATTTACTATTATTATTTTTTTTTACTTGTTACTAATTTATTTCTGGCTGTTATTTTAAGTTATAATTAAAGTTGAGTTTTGGTGGAGTTTTGAAATCAATGAATAATCGTGTTTATTAATCGTGATTTCAGTATCAATCAAAATAATCGTGATTATTATTTTTGCCATAATCGTCCAGCCTACCCTACTCTCTCTCACACTCACAAACACAGTTACAGATACGCAAAACAATACAAAATACGAAAAGAAAACAAAATGTAAGACTCAAATTAATTACACACAAACAGACACAAATTACTGCTTTCCTCCTTCCCTCCCTCCCTCACGATTTGCAAGTACAGCACCCTGAATCAGAGCATTTGATTTTACGCAACTTCAAAAAGAAGATTTCAAAAGCCCTCTGGTAGTTGAATGCCTCTGGGACAGCCCTATTTATGGCAACCCACTGGATCCATCGCATGCGCGATCCGGCTGAGGTGCGGGTGCTGTAGCTAATCCCGGCCATTCAAGTCAATGTAAGCTGCTTCAGAATTGCCGCACTGCGGCGCGTCCTAGCCGCGGCCTAGAAGCGACTCGGTGCTCCACTCCACTGAAAATGCGCGCCGGGTCTATTTTTGACAGACGCCGCGCGACGGCACGTCAGTTTGCACAGACCAAATGAGTCAAACAGGAAGTCAGGCACAGAAAAGATGAGAGTATCTGGTCAATTTTCAAAATTAAAACACCCATGAAAAAATTTCACATCGCTACATTAACATGACGTCAAAGTTGGTGGCCCCAGGCCTGAAGTCAAACACGTGGTGACATTATGATCTCGCGATCTGGCAGTTCCAGCCGCTCGCCTGTGTGTCGCTATAGTTCCAGTGGACATTGACGCCCGGCAAGACCTGCCCTACTCTGCCTTACTCTGCCTCCGATTGACTTACCCTGACATTCTTACCCTAACCAATCTCATTTCTCGTGCCTAAACATAACCAATCCAGGCAAAAAAGGCAATGGCTACTAGCCAGTCAGAGGGAGAGTAGGGTGAGCCATGCCTTCACCATAGTAGGAAAAAAAAAATTAGCTGCCCGGCACAGGACGGAGCAAGTCTGCGCCGTGGCCGAATTGCATGCGCAACGGATCCAGTGGACATCCGGCAGGCAGGCAGCTAGATGTTCTCCGTACAGCCTGTTGCGGAGACTAGTTTTGACCTGGAATGGAAAGTAACTACCATGAGCCAAATGAGAAAGAAAAAGTTTTCAGAGCTTACTTCAATGGTGCTGTGTGTTGCCATGCAGGCTAAGAGTTGTCTTAAATACAGCCACAAAATTCTCTACTGATGTTTTCCAGGTGTTTCCAAGAATTCTTAATGAAGCGGATGTCAGTATTCCTCAGTATTCTGCTTAAAAATGCGTTCTGCTCTATCAACTCAAGCTCACGCTAGCGCTAGGAGAGCAATATCTGTGGTGAGGCTGGGGAGGGGGGAGTCAAAGAATTCTGAGTAGGCGCTCCAGCCGGTGCGCTACAGAGTGACGTTCGTTTACCAGAGGCATTTTATATCTGGCTGTTTTTTGGACACTGCCATAGTCTCGTCAATGTATGGGAAACACTGTAGGTTTTTTGAATGGGTTTTTGGTCAGATGCCTGAAATAGAGTCTGTGGTTAACACAAACTGAAGAGACTTTTATGGTTGCAATCACATATTGATTTAAATGGTATCTCAGAGAAATTCCAGTCTGGTTTTAAATCATGACATAGCACAGAAACCGCCCTTTTAAGAGTTTTTAATGACCTGCTTTGAACTGTTGATTCTGGCGACTCTGCTGTCCTGGTCCTTTTGGATCTGTCAACCACAACATTGTCCTGTCACGTCTTAACTCGTGTGTAGGCATTTAAGGTACAGCTCTTAAATGGTTCCGGTCTTACCTATCGAATAGAAGTTTCTCTGTCCATCTCGGCCAGTATTATTCAGCTGCATCCCTGCTTAGTTGTGGGGTACCGCAAGGCTCCATCCTGGGCCCTGTTTTATTCTCATCGTGTATGCCTCCCTTGGGGTCAATTTTTAAAAAGTACAATATCTTCTTTCATTGTTTTTGATCTACAGATCTATCTGCCCATAAAAACAAACAGTGAGGCCTCTATTCAGGCTCTGCTGAACTGTCTTAAAGATGTTCAATCATGGATGGAGTTGAACTTTCTTAACCTGAACATAAATAAAACTGAAATCATTCTATTTAGACAATCCATTTTTTTTAGATAGCTATGATGGTGCCATTGGTTCATTAGCATCCTATTGTCACTCCACTGTGAAGAACCTTGGTATGATTTTTGATTCTGCCTTTAAACTGGATAAACATATTAGTTCAGTTGTTAAGACAAGCTTCTTTCAATTGAGACTCCTGAGTAAGGTGAAGGCCTACCTCCCTCCACATGATTTTGAGTGAGTAATTCATGCCTTCATCTCTTTGCGTCTAGATTATTGTAATTCTTTGTATGTTGGACTCGACCAGTCATCACTGCGCCATTTGCAGGCGGTTCAAAATGCAGCAGCCCGCCTGTTAACAGGAAAGAAACGGCGTGATCACATCACATCTGTACTGGCCTCCTTACACTGGCTTCCAGTCCTTTTCAGGGTCCAGTTTAAAATTTTAATGCTTGTTTTTAAGAGTCTTAATGGCCTGGCACCATCTTATTTGACTGAGCTTTTACAGCCTCACACCCCAATGAGAGCGTTGAGGTCTACAAATCTATTACTGCAGGAGGTTCTGAGATCCAGACACATTGGACAGACTGGACAGACACATCTGGTCTTGAGCAAGGTTTCTTGAGAAAACCACTAAAATTTGGAAGGTCACATTCTGCCTTCTACTTTTTCAATAAGCCACTAATGCTCAGTTTGTTGTTGTTTGGCTTGGCTGTAAAGCACAGGCCCAAAGATATCCACAACATATGACTTAGGCCTACAGTCCTCTGAAACTAAACAGGGATGTGTTAGTCTACCTTTAGGTTTATACTCACGTATGCCCACTCAAGTAAAGCATACACAGTTAAGGTACAGTTTGATACCACTGGACAAAACAACACTTACAATATTCGTATCCCATCTGCACTTGATGTTTTATTTATCATATAATATTAGCATATTAACATATATTTATCATATAGTATAATAACACTGGATTATTTTAGCTTGATGTCTGGTAACAATGGTAGTCATATACCACCAAAAATTGCAAACATTGTCTGTTTCCAGCTTCTCAAGTGTAAGGGCTTGCTTTTTTCTGTTTCAGATCATTGTAATTTGAAAACTTTTATTTTTGGTCAGTCAAAACAAGGAGTCTGAAGACATTAGTTTGGGCTATGTGAAATTGAGATGGCTATTTTTCACCTTTTTTTGGTGTGCATTTTTTAGACTTAAAAAAAAAAAAATTCATGTGAAGTAACTGCTTTCTGACATCCACATGGTAACTGCTTAAAGAATTCAAAGTTGTATACTGCTGTCAACTTAAAATGTCTTTGTGGTTCTTTTCAGAAGCAAACCAGCAGACAAAATGGCATCCGACTCTCCACGCAGACATAGTCGCTGTGCTGGAGGGGTTCTGGTGCGAGCACAAGCTGCTACGTAAGGATACACATAAGCTTATTATTGTTATTATTATTAATATTATTATTATTATTGTTGTTATTACCATTACTATTAGTATTATTGTTTAGAAATACTGTATGTATATATGTGTCTGTATGCATGATAATCTATGTATGTCCCTGGGCACCAAGAATAACAAACAGCCTGCTTGATGAAGTTAGATGTTAAATAATTCTGTGTCATTTTTACAATCACGCTTTAAATTGCACTCTTTTAGGGCCCTGTCTACATGTATACAGATAATTTTTTTTCTCCTACAGTTTAAGAAAAAAAAAAAAAATCTACACGACTGTCATTTGACAAAATATTTTCATCCTCACTTATGCTCACCTAGCCAGTAGGTGGTGATAAAGACAGTGGTGAAAGAAGTACCGGAAAGCCACACTTGAGTAAAAGTACAGATATCTGACCAAAAAATGACCTAAGAAGAAGTTCTATCATCTATTAGAATATTACTTGAGTAAAAGTTTAAAGTATCTGATATCTACTGTACTTCAGTATCAAAAGTAATGTACTATATTAAATGCAGTGTTCAACACAACATTTTTTCCCCACTGGCCCCCCGGGCCAGTAGTTCAGAGTTTTACTGGCCCCTTGTATATTCTTACTGGCCCAAGTAAAAGAGAGAGAGAGAGAGAGAGAGAGAGAGAGAGAGAGAGAAAATGAATATAAAACTTAATTTAATTTAACTTCATTTCATTTAACTCCATTATACCTCATCGTAGTGCGTGATGGTATATACAGCAGTCCTCGCAGAAGCTGATGTATGATGTCACAGCCTCTGTTTACTCATCCACTTCTTAGATGACCTCACAACAGGTTTACAGAGCTTTAACTTAAGCCTGTATGAGGGAATCAGGTGGACGGTGTTGTGGTCAGAGTGGCCCAGTGCAGCGCGGGGGACGGCGTGATAGGCATTGTTAACAGTTGTGTAACAGTGATCCAGGATATTCTTCTCTCTGGTCGGACATTTTATATACTGTTTGTATTTGGGGAGTTCATGGGTGAGGTTACCTTTGTTAAAGTCGCCAAGGACAATAACTTAGGAGTCCGCTCCACACACAGTAGCTTATCTGGTCGGCGAGCGTGCGCTGTAGCCTACCTCCTGCACGTTGGCCTGCAGTGGGATGTAAACACCGACCAGAATGAATGAACCAAACTCACGGGGGGAGTAAAAAGGTTTGCAGTTGATGAAAAAAGATTCCAGATCAGGAGAGCAGTGCTGCTGGATCACTGTCATGTCATTGCACCAGCCACTGTTAGTGTAAAAACAGATACCTCCACCTTTAGTTTTGCCGGAGAGTTTCATGTTACGATCCGCTCAAAAGTTGGAAGCCTGCCAGCTGCAGCACAGAGTCCGGTATCGATCCACACAGCCACGTCTCTGTGAAGCACAAAACTGCAGGTGTAGAAAAGTCTCCGTTTTTCATCATCTGTAGCTGAAGTTCATCCAGTTTACTGGCCAGCAAACGTTGGAGAGAAATATACCTGCATGGCAACGGTGTGCGGTGTCCGCGTTGGCAGAGACGTACAAGCGCACCAGCACGTTTCCCCCTCCTCCAGTGTTTCATTGCATGAGCAAAGGTGAGGGCACCTTTGGCCAAAAAGCCCAATAAATCCACTGAAGGCTCAAGAAAAGTGGGATAAAAATCCGCTGGAGTTGTTCCCCTGACAAAAAAAGCCTTACAGCGTCACTGGCCTGAGCGGGCCTGTGACCTGTCAGTCAACTTTCCCGACATACTTTTTGATTGGCCCCGGGCCATCGGGCCATGGGTTATGTCGAACCCTGAAAGGTAATTAAGTATTGAAAGTAAAAGTACAAATAAATGCTGGTTATAAAAAGCAAGCAGTCAGAATTCTGAGAATTATTAAGTTTATTTCTTTTTAACGTACACTACCTTTAAAATGGAGCGTACGTAACACTTAAAGAAAAACGGATTTTTCTTCACAGCTTGAAGGATTTAAAGAAAACCTTTGACTATCAAGGGCTAACACACTGCAGTCACCACGCAGTTACCTGACACAGAGCCTCATCTCCTTGAATCATTATTTGCCCTGTCTGCTGTGGGACACCATTTTCTGCTGCCATCATGAAGTCAGTCTTCTCGTCCAGTGGAATGTAGTCACTAGCATGTAGCACCTAATCTGATCTGCTAGCCTGGTGAAACCATCCTAATCTCGCAAGCTCATATTCTATTTCGCTCCCCGGATCAGTCTGGCCATGCAATCATAAAGGCACATTCTGGCATCTGTTAAAGCTTACCGGGCCAATCACAACTGTTTATTTCTTTGGAGCGTGTATTTGAAATCACGTCATCGGAATAGGAGGGACAAGGAGCGGAGTGAATGCAATTCGTAAACAACCAACATGGCTACTGATTTTGAAACTGCGATGGTAAATGTGTTGAACGAACTGGAATGTATATTTTCTTTAAAAGCAGAGCAAATGGCTGCACTGAAAGCTTTTATTGAAAAAAAGGATGTGTTTGCTGACCTTCCCATGGGGTTTGGTAAAAGTTTAATTTACCAACTGGCTCCGTTGATTGGGAAAAAGATGGGACTCAGTGAAAACCCAGTGGCTATTGTTGTTTCTCCGCTAGTTGCTCTCATGGAGGAGCAGGTCAGGGAAGCGGCCAACTCTGAGTCCACAGTGAGGAGGAAATCCGCAAAGACGGTAACACTCTTTCCCAGACATCATCACAGCTCATCTCCGCTGCAGCTTGCTGGTCTGTTTACATTGGCGTTGTGCTAGCCTACGTCACATGTTTCGTCTACTCTGATTGTGTTTCCGTCTTTCCAATTGCGTGAAGGGGCACTTTGAGTGACAGCCGTTGATACTGCCCCTCGGGAATCGAGAAAATGTACACTCCATGCCCAGACCATTCGCGTTTTGCGAATTGGGTCTGGCAACGCCAGGCTGCTGATCTGCAGCCTGGGTGTCACTGGAAATCCAAACTGAACTGCGGCTCTGAGAGCACTTGTTTGCACTTGACCTTATGTGACTAACCTGTGATCTAACTTGCAAGCAAGGACCACTGATTCACCAAGTCTTTGAATTTTATTTTGTAGTAACAAAGTAACAAAAATACTTAGGACGCAGAAATACACCAGAGTAAAACTAGAGTGAAATACTTTTACTTCAATACATAGGAATGTATTACACCACTGGATAAAGGCTATGTCAAAGATGGTCATATATGTAAGAAGAAGCCTCTGAGCATGCGTAGTGATCTTATTTTCCTTTGGTGGTATTAACAAATCAAACAATAGTAGCTAATTATATCTTTATACATATTGGATTCCTATTTATTTAACATCTTTCTGGTGCAAGGTCCAAGGTGCTATGCAGGGGTGGGAAGTAACGCATTCCAAGTTTTTTTATGGAATGAGAACCTTACATGTTCCCTTTTTTTTAAGCTGTACTTCTGCTCTTTACTTGAGTATATTTTTTAACCAGTAATCTACTTTTTACTTTACTATGTTTGCCATTTATACCTTTGTTGCAAATAGTCTGCTTTGACCAGTTTCTGCCTGTGTACTGCAAGCTGGGTGATAAAAAGGAGATAAAAATTAAACCGACTGCACAGGCACACACACTCACACAGCATAGAGGCAGCCTCTGACCTTGTGACAGCCACAGCTGCAACAGATAATCCAACCCAAGTTAGCTAACTTTTTTTTTTTTTCATTTTATATACTTTATTAATCCCCGAGGGGAAATTCAATTTTTCACTCTGTTTGTCAATTACACACAGGTCCGAACACACACGCACAAACTGGACCTATACATGCACGAAGTGGAGAGATGTCAGACTGGGCTGCCCATGACAGGTGCTCCGAGCGGTTGGGGGGTTCGGTGCCTTGCTCAGGGGCACCTCGGCAGTGCCCAGGAGGTGAACTGGCACCTCTCCAGCTACTAGTCCACGCTCCATATTTTGGTCCGGATGGGGACTTGAACAGGCGACCCTTCGGTTCCCAACCCAAGTCCCTATGGACTGAGCTACTGCCGCCCCAAGACTGTTTAATGTAAAGTTACAGCAAAGGAGTCAGCTGCTGATCTTTGAATTTACAGTGAATGAGTTTACAATATAATAACCTTACATTAACTTTGAGTCAATACTGCGCAACAAATCATGTTACTTATGTTAACCACTAGGGCTGGGCAATATGGACTAAAGTCATATCTCAATATATTTTAGCTGAATGGCGATACTTGATATCAATATTTTCTCTGTGACTTAATTGGGGTTTCCCCCAAAGCATTACAGCATAGCGTCCCTGTTAGTTTCATTTTTTCAGAGGCAAACCCTTACAAAAAAAACCCTTACAAAAAACAGTCAGTTATAAGTTTAAGCCACGTGCCAAATGTCACACAGGCAGGGTGCATGGCGTCAGTCCGACCACCCAATGGTTCGACTACCCATTAGTCCGACTACCCAAAGGTCCGACCTAGTATTTGAATGAATGAAATTTATTCCCTCTAAACGCGAATAAATCGCACGTCAGTCATAAACTATGAACCAAAAAAGCACAATCTATCCCGAGTGAGACAAACTGCTTGATCCCTGTCTCCAGTGTACCAGCAGAGAACCTGCAGAACCGAATCAGCGAAAAAACACACCGGGCTAAGCCTCTCTACCTGAGCAGCTGAAGTTGCGGCTCGCACCCTCGACACACAGACGGTGCTTCTGCATGCCAGCCAAACGTGTGCGCAACTGTGAGAAATAAATATGTGAGGTGTACGCTGCTTTTCTATCTTTTGTTCCCTTTTCTTTCTTTCTTTCTTTCTTTCTGTCAGCGACATACACTCCTAACACAGGACGGGTTGTTTTAATTGACTGAGTTGATCATTAAGCCATAGTGATGCACGGATCGGCTCTGATAGCACCTGAATCAGCATGTACGCATCAACCATCCAGCCGTTACAACATGATTGAGCTAGCAAAGCAGTTTTGTGTTGCTATGTGTGGTATTTA